CACCTTGGTCTGAGTCCTGGGTAGCATAATTTACTAGCTGGGTTACTTGGGCAAGTCAAGGTAACCTCTCTGAACCTCAGTTTCCTGATCCATAAAAGGGGGTGACAATATCGTATCTCCTTCCCAAGGCATAATAATTCACCTAGCATTCCTGGTCCCCTTGAGGATCTCATTAGGGATCTACTAAAGGCAGAGCAAGTATTCAGGGCCAATCAACCACTCAGTTTACCTCACTCACCTCCCCAGGACCCAGTATCTTAAATGGTCCCTGGGCCTCATCTTGCTTATAAGAGAACTGAGGTACAGAAGGGAGAAGTGACTTGTCCAAAGTCACACAACCAGTAAATGGGGTGTGTTCTGGCCCCCACTCTCAAATAGCCTTCTGCCTGAAACCTGAGGAGCACAGGAAGGGTCTCTGAGAGGTGGAGGTGTCGGTGGCATAGGCCTGGCTATTTATGAGACAGGCACAGAGCAGAGATGCAGTAATAATTCTGATCCATCCTACTGTCAGCTTTCTGGGAGAACTTTGTCACTTACATCCTCTCTATCCAGTCAGAGGGCCATTTCTCTCTTCCCCTGACTCCAGGGTAGACCAGGTCTACTTCTTCTGACCCCAGATTTTCCTTCCCTCTTCTCAAGGATCATGGAAGATGCTCAGAGGGCAGGGGACAGAAAGATCCCCAGATACTGAGAGGGTCTTCAGCAGTGTTTTACAAAGGTTGTGGTACTGGAGTGAGTGCATCTGGGCCTGTGGTTGAAGTTCTTGAGGCATGAGAGGAGATGTGTTTTTCTGTCTAAATCTGTGGCCCTGGCCATTAACTTCCTCTTTCTGGGCCTCAATTTTCTCCCCTGAAAAATGGGGTTAAAGGACCTTGCCCCTGTACTTGTGGTAGTCTGGTTAATGTTCACCAATCAACTCTCAAGCGTGCGGGGGGAGCTCTGGTTTGTAGTGTTTGCAAATTTCCATGGGCAGACACTGTCACCATGGCCATTTTCACTGGACGTGGATTTGGGAAGAGGTAGGTAAAACTGACTCCTGAAAGCCTGTGCCAGTAGGCAACTTACACCCTTGGGGGCAGAGGGAGATGAAATGAGGCGATTATATGAAAGCACAAAGTGAACTGTAGAGTGCTCTGAAGATGTGGACCTGTGATGATCATGGCTCTTAGAGGTGAAGGAACCTCTGGGCACAGTCCACCACTGAGAGCCCTGGCCTCCATTCCAGGAATGTTAAGCCCATATATGTGGACCATGAGAGTGTTCTGGGGATCTGAGAGGGGAGGAGATATTAGCACATATATTCCACCATGCTCCCTGAAACCGAAACAGACAGGGTCAAGGTTAGACATTAATGAAGAATTTCTTCTGAATTCGGATGCCAGCTCCAGGACACTGGGGCCATCAGGGAGGCCTCCTGATGGATCCAAAGCTACACAGTCACCCCTTCCTCTCCACTGCAGTCCCTGGGAGTTTCTTTAGGCACTGGCTGTACTGCAGGGCAGTGACTGAAATGACCTTTGAGGCCAGAGTCAAGAAGAAGGAAGTTCAGCCTCTGCCAATGGTGGTAGACAATGTCAGGGAGATGGTGGTAGGAGGCAGGAAAGAGAAGTTCCCTCAGTGCTCTCTTCCCCCACCCCCAGAGCTGAGATTGAGTCTGTCCCACTGCTAATTATTAATAATAGCTATAATTTATTGAGCATGTAGTATGTGTAAAGCTATTTACAAGCAATATTTCATCTAATCCTCCAGAGAGGTATGTATTATTAGCCCTATTTTACAGATGAGGAAACTGAGGCCCAGGGAAGGAAGTTAAACAACTTGTCCAACCAAATTCTCACAGTGGTTAGGATTCAGACCTAAGCCTGACTCCAGGTCATCTAGCTTCAAGAGCTCTTGTGGCTCTGAGAGAGAGGGGCTGAGGCCAGTCGGCCTCTCCTTCTCTCTACAGTGAGCCCCTCCCCATGCTGGACAGGGCGCCCCATAATACACCAGTCAGGAACCTTTTGCTCAATCCTGAGGCAGGAGAGTCCTGTTAGATGAAGTTGATTGAGGCCCCCTCTTTCCTGGACTTTCTATAAGTCTTTTCTGGGACTTACAGAATAGAGTTTCAGCTTGGGAGACTAGGGGGTGCCATGGTCATGGACTTGGGAGTCAATACCTACAGAACTTGCCCAGAGGAACACCTGGACTACAGGGACTTCTGAATCCTCAATGCAAATTAAGCAGCAAGCTTTGAGCTCTGCAAAGGCAGCTTCTAATCCTGTCTCAAGTTGCTTGGAGGAAATGGGGTAGTGGTTTTCAAACCAGGGTATGAAAGTCACAGCTGGGATAAAAGCCTTCTGGTCAGGCCTCTGACATTCAGGAACTCAGCCAGGACTTATAGATAACACAGCCTGAGGAGTAGGGGCTGGTGTAAGGATGCAGTGAGGCAGGTGCTGCTGGGAAGCTTCTGCGCAAAGCAGGCCCTCCGGAGGAGGGGCAGCCCCAAGCTAGAGACCACGGATGCATCTTCAGGTTCACATGTTAAGAGGAGCACGGCTGGGGTCTGAGTCTCCTAAGGCCAGGCTAAGTGACAAGCAGACAGGTAGGGAGGGCTAATAAGGGCAACTGCCACCTGGGGATGAGGTCATTAGCCTATCTGCCCAGGGTTACCAGGCTAGAAGCAGTGAGACCATCAAGGAAACTGAAGAGTCTAGGGTCAGAGGTCCTTGGGTCTGGTCACATTTGGCTGACTGAGGCCAGATGTATGACACATGTTCTTGATCACATTGTAGGTGTCAGCACCTTACACACATCATCTCACTTAATCCTCATGAGGACCCTGTGAGGTGGGTTCACATGCCCCACTTATGAGATGAAGAATGTGAAATACAGTTACACAGTGTGTTCAAAGCCATACAGCCAGAAAGTGACAAGACTAAAACTCAAAGTTAGGTAGGCCCAAATCCAAAGCCCCCCACCCCCACTCCAAGTTACAGAGCCCCAAGACCTGTGGGACAGGGCTCCCCACCTTGCATTTGGAGGGACTGGAAACGCCTTGGGAAGGTGCCAGGGCCACAGCACCATCTCCTGGGAAGACAGCTCTTGGCCCGGGTAAGGTGTCACAGGCAGGCCTGAGCTGTCCAGGAGTAGCTGTCCAGGGAGCAAGGGCCAGCCTGGGGCGGTCATGCGGAGCCTGAAATGGGCTGCCCTACACCTCAGGCCCCCTGCCTGCCCCTTTGCAGGTGTCCAGTTACGGCCAGCTCTGCGCTTCCCCAGTCACGCCACATTTAGCATTTAGCATTACCTAGTGAACAGGCGCGGGGACATGGAGAAGGGGCAGTGGGGACTCTTTAAGGGGCGGGAGAGCCTCCCAGGCCCCTGCCTGGGCCCCAGCAGCTAGCCCCTTCCCAGGCTGATCCTCAGTAGGATTTTGGGTAGATTCTCTCCCCTCCCTATCCCCATTACCCTCTCTAGAGATGGCTTATTCAGCAAAGACGTATCAACCCCTGACTTGGCACCAAGGGCCAGTGAGACCCTCCCTCCCTCCCTCACTCCTAGAGCTCTCAGAAGAACATGCAGGGAACAGCACAACTACCCTGCTCTGGCTTGAGGGAGGTTTGGGTAGAGGGGTAAGTGTAAATCTCAGGCTTTTCTTGCTGCCCCCCCCACACACACACACACACACACACACACACACACACACACAGCATATCCGACCCAGCTCTGACCCTCACCAAAAAAGAAGAGTAAGTGTTTGTAGACTTCAAAGCTAGCCAAAGCTGAGTTCAAGTTCTGACCCTGTCCAGGATTATGTGATTTGGGAAAGTCGAATAATCCCTCTGAGCCTCAGTTTCTTCATCTGAAAGGTGAAGTTAATAATGTACCGTCCTCGCAGGCTTATTCTGATAAACCAATGAGAAAATCATCCAAAGCATTTGCACAGTGGCCAGCCCTCAGCAAACAGTAGCTGTTATCAGAGACTGCTGGGCAATGGGAGTGAACTAAAGAGGCACTGCCCTTTTAAGATGGTGAAGTAAGGCAAAGATCAGAAGATAATGATAAAAAAGCCATACCGCTAATGACATTAATCACCAGAACTGACAAGTATTGAGCACTTACCCCAAGCTCGGCACTGTGTTCCATGCTTTCTATGCATGATTTCATTTCATACTCACACAGCCCTGTGCGCTAGGTCCTATCACTTGCCATGTTTTGTAGATGCTGTGCTGAAATGCAGAGAGCTTTGCTGACACAGCTAGAAAGGCAGGGCTGAGTCTGGCACTGAGCCACAGTCCTCCTATCCACTCCACTGTGCTGGGATCAGGGTTCTTCTACAATTCCAGAAGGTCTGGAATCTAGTCCATGCCCCCAGCGTTTCATGGGGAAACTGAAAAGTTCAGAAAGGGGCTAGGGGCCTGGGATAGGATGTAGCTCAGTGGTAGAGTGCATGCTTGGCATACGTAAGGCTCTAGGTTCAACCCCCAGCACCAAAGAAAAGAAAAGAAATAAAGGGACAGTGGTTTGCACAAAGGCACAGGTGAGAGTTTGAAGGACATAGGTGAAAACAGCACTTATTAGATGTTACATTGTAGGCTGGTGGGTCACCAGGCAAAAGGCCCTAGGGTCAACCACAGGTCCAACCTCTGCATCAGTGGAGTTGTTCCCACCTCAGGCCTAGGCCTGACCTACCTCCTCTCAGGGCCTGCACAGCCACTGATTAGTTTGAACTAACCTGGCCCTTCATTGTAGACACAGGATTCCAAGCAAGAGGAGCCAGAGGCAGGGTCTGGCTGGGAACCAGAGTCTTGCTGGCTCAGTCCTCTGCCACAGCATCCAAGACCTCTCCTCCAAGGGTCCCACCTGGCTTACTTGGCTCTCATGTACTCTCTATCATTCATCAGATGACTGGCTACAGGCAGGGTCACTAAAAGGGATGGGGTGGCAGTGGAGGTGGTGAACCTGGGGTTGGTCACCCCAGACATTGGTCCTCATTCTCATCGCAGCCGGCTTTCTTCGAGGCCAGGACTGGGTGATGGTGTCGCTACTCCCGCCACAGTCTGACGTCACGTTGCCAGGCCACACCCGACTGGAGGGTGAGCCCCAAGGGGACCTCATGCAGGCTCCGGGCCTCCCAGGCTCCCCTGCCCCACAGAGTGTAAGTACTGGTAATCTAAGCCTAGACTTAGGCCAAAGCCCAAAGGCTGCACAGGCAGCAAGTAGACCATCAGGGACCTCCCAGGGTTTATCTTGTCCTTTCCACCAACAAATAAGTGCTTGACTCTGAGGCCCAGAAGAGCTCAGATATGGGTCTTTGTTCATCCCTTCCGTGTAGGGTTGTCCCAGGACAGGGCTATGGAGCCTCATCAGCTTTGGAGCACTCCAGGTTTAGAGGCAGTATGTCCTCATCAGATTGGGGCTCCCAAGGGCAGGCTATGTCTTCTTCATCATTTGGGGATGACCCTGTGCTCAATCAGCTACAGACCCTTTAACCCAGCACAGAGTAGGATCCTGGCAGGTCCCCAGGCCTAGTCCAACCTCCACTCATAGGCTCTTTGCCCTTTGTCCACCCAGAAGCATGCCGGCTTCAGCTGCTCATCATTTGTACCTGATGGCCCTCCAGAGAGGGCCCCTTCACTGCCCCCACACAGCCCGAGCATTGCATCGCCAGGCCCTGAGCAAGTCCAAGGCCACTGCCCAGCTGGACCCGGCCCAGGCCCCTTCCGGCTCTCACCCTCAGACAAGTATCCTGGTTTTGGCTTTGAAGAGGGCCCAACAAGCAGCCCTGGGCGCTTCCTCAAAGGCAACCACGTGCCTTTCCACCCATACAAGCGGCATTTTCACGAGGACATCTTCCCTGATGCCCAGACAGCCCTCGCCCTTGAAGGACACTCCTTTAAGACCCCGGGGGCACCGGAGGCCTTCGAGGAGATCCCTGTGGATGTGGGGGAAGCTGAGTCCTTCCTCCCTGGCTTCCCAGCAGAGGCCTGGTGCAATGGGCTCTCTTACCCCAGCCAGGAGCACAGCCAAGTCCTGGTGAGTACCAGTGGCCAGCAGGACTCCCATCTCCCCTGTCCCAGTTCCTTGTGGACTAGATGGAGATCAAAGTCCCTACCTTCCCATTTCAGACCTTGCCTCTCAAGATCAGTGCACTCAGCAAAGCAGCAAGCACAAGAGTGGGGGCCTCTTGGCTCTATGCTGGGTCTCCTGGTTGGCTGCGGAGGGGATGCTGGCCTGGCATGGTGCAGGCAGGTGGGGGAGACAGGTCAGGCTAAGGAAGCTGGCAGCCTCCCAAGGGCTCCTGAGTCAGGAATCCAGAGTGTAACTTCTGTTTGTTTAAGTGTCAAGAATCTCCAGCCAGACCAACACACCCATATGCAAATGTGAGAAGAAAAACACACTCCAGAGGCCAAGAGAAAGGACTTAGGAAGGAGCACAAAGCACAAATTCCCTCTCCAACACCAGTGTACAGAACTGAGAGACTGTAAGATTTAAGTCCTCTCAAGACCCTCTTCCTGGTCCTATTCTTTTTCTTTCTTTCTTTCTTTTTTTTTTAAAGACAAGAGTTAGCTATGTGGCCCAAGCCTGGCCTCGAACTGAGAATCCCATGCCTCTGCATGCCCTAGTCCTGAGATTACAGACTTGTTCCTGGCTCTATTCTTTGCCTAAAGTGGGCCTGGGTATATCCACAGAAATACCTAGAAAACACCTTGGAAGGTCATGACAACTGTACTTCCACAGCCATTTCTGCGTGCTCTGTGACTGTGGGCAAGTAACTTAATGTCTCTGAGCCTCATTGGAAAAGTAAAGTTAAGGGTACCTACATCATAGAACTGTAGCTTTGGAAAACTAAAGGGAGATTGCTTCCCATGCCACACTCTGTTTGGAGGTCTCTGAGGCAGTGACCAAGTGGTCCAGTCTCAGCTATGCCTCCTCAGATGCCAACCAGCCCGCCTCACCTCTTGCTTTCAAACAGACCCTCATTCTAGCCCCAAGCCACTTCCAACAAGGAAGGCAGACGGACACCTGGCAGGCATGGCCAAGACAGGATCTTACACTGGTTCTGGAGTCCTTGGATGGCTTCTTCTCAGGCCCCTTGAACATGGCAGCAGCCACAGTGAGGTAGCAGCATGTCAGTGGATGCCCCAAGTATCCACTCAATACCCACTCCTGGCCATTCTGCCAGGTGCTTTCTTTCAAGTACCCTGTTTAATCTTCCCAACAACTCCTAGAGTTCCCACTATCTCCATCTCACGAATAAGGATCTGAGGCTCCTAGAGGCCAAGGCATCCCCCAGTCTGTAAATGGTGAAGCTGAGATTTGAGTTCACTCCTGCATCTTGGAGAAGAGCTCACAGGTTGCTCGCTGTGTGATGTGGTGCACATGGCTTCCCTCATTTGGGCTCAGCCCCATTATCCGTCAAATGAAGGGGTTGGACACTAGTGCATGCTGTGGCCCTTCCAGGCCTGAGATTCTTTGATTGTGGCAATCTCTGCATCAGCAGCCCCAGGGCACACCCAGAAAGAGGTCACAGCTAGCTTGCCCCTCTGACCCCATGTGCTGGCTTCCCAAGGCTCCTGGGAACCCTAGGAAGAGCAATCCACCCTTTCCTGAGGTTGACCACCTTCCAGGACCTAGGTGCACACCCCTTCTTGTCCTACTAGGGGTACAATTCTGTGCTAGACTCCAAGGACTCCACATTGGCCCCCCAGAGATCTCTAGCCCTATCCCACCTTCAGTGTGACCATTGACAAATCTCCTCCATGTTTCTGAACAGCCTGTCTTCCACTTCTCACCAGCAGTGAGATAGGGTGTTGGGAATATTGTTGGTTCCCGTCCTAGCTGAGTTCCCTGGGGAAAATCCCTGCCCTTCTCTGTTCTCTAGGAAGGAGAATAAAGGGGAAAGAATAGGGGTTATTTTTGTGTGAGGTCCAGAATAAGGGAAGAGGAAGGGAAAAACTAAGGCCATCTGCTTTCTTTTCCAGCAGGGAGCAGAGGTCAAGGTCAAGCCCCCAGCTCTGGAGAGTCCTGGGATGTACTGCTACCAGCCTCCCTTGCAGCACATGTACTGCCCCTCCCAGCCCCCCTTCCACCAGGTGGGTCTGGGACAAGTGGACACGCTTCCCCGGGGTCTCGGGATATCATGGGGTGTGGGGTGCTGTGGGGGTGGGGGCATGGGTGTGTGTTATGTGAGTGTGTGTGCATGCCTAGATGAGATGAGGGCAGCAGGGCCCTAAACCTCATGCTGCTGAGCCACCCCGGGTAGGGGCGGTGGTTAGGATGGAAATAATCACCCTTCTGTAGGGGTGGTGGGTAGGGCTTATCTGAACCCCCAGCACGGGCTGAGAGGTCTCAAACAGAGTGTGGCTGTGACCGAGGCAAGGCCATTATGTGAACCAAAGAGCAAGGGAGGAGGCGAGCCACCCCACAGGGACAGAAAGAAAAGGGGTGTGTAGTGTGACACACAAGGTTGAGCAGAGCAGGGAACAATGGACTCCCTTCTAGGTCACAATTTGCTGTATGACCCTGGCCCTGAATTTGCCTTTAGCCAAGAGTGGGTGCGCACAATGTGCAGGACTAGAGAACCTCTTCACCTGAAGGGCTCTAAGTCCTCATCATCTTTGGTCCTTTCCCCACCTCACTGCCCAGCTTTACCCCTCCCAAATGCATGGGATGCCAAGTAATTGCCCCACACTGGCAAGGGATGGAGGGTTTTTTAAAAAAAAGAAAAGAGCCCTAGAGCTGTCAGGCAGCTCCCTAGAGTCACCGGGCAAGACAGAGCAAGTGGCTGCCCAGAGCCCGGCTCCATCCACCTGCAGCCTGGCACTGAGACAGGCCCTGCCTGTGGAGCAGGTTCTACTCCTGCCTCTTTGGCAGTGACCCTGATTTTGGCCAAGCCAGAGGCAGGTAGGGAAGGAGAAAGGTCAAACAGCATGCTCTGCGGAGGAAATAGATAGAGGGAAGCAAAAGACCACATGGCAGGAAGAGACATTCTGTCTTCCTCAAAGGGCCTGGCTGTAATGGCCAAAGCTATCTTGAGGCTTCTGGTCTGATCCAGGGTAGAGGATGTCCCTGAGGCAACCTGTCACATCAGGGACTGAGCCCTCAGACCTTAAATGGCCTCACTATGCCTAGCCCTGCTTTGATGCCTTCTGCAGTCTGTACCCTCCTGGAACAAGATGGCCGCACCCAGGGCTTTATGGAGCCTGGAGAGAGGGTGACTCAGGCACTAAGTGTCTCTCGGTGACCTGGAAAGAGCACTTCAGCCTGGAGCAGCTGGGGGAGTCAGAGTCTCCTACCCCTCTACCCCCATAAAACACCATGCCTGGCACCACAGCCACGCCCTTTGCCGTAAAACCACCTCCTACCCCCACCTGCCCACCACCATGACCGGCTCTTTCAAAGAGCCACTGAAACTCATAAAAGGTGGCAGTGCCCAGCAAACGCCCAGGCTGGACATCCCACTTCCGGCCCGGTGCTCCAGGAGAGGTAGGGAGGCCTGGAGCACCTGCCTGGAGGGTGGAGGGGCCTCAGGCTGCTCCTCATTCTTTCCAACCCAGCTTCGTCCCATCACCACTGCAGCCAGACTACAGAAAGAGCTGAAAGGAAGGAGCTGGCTGGAGAAAGGGAGACTTGGGACCCTTGAGATCCTGAGTTCCTCCCAGCTCTCCCCCAGGCCTTCATGAGGAGCTGCACTTTTGGCCACCCCTCAGATAGCTCTGCATGGAAATATTTTTGAACATCCATTCATATTGAACTCCAGAAGAAAGTTTTTTTGTAGAAAAACAGCATCAAATAAGCTGTTTGATGGTGGGTGGCGGAGCCCTCATTTCCTTCTCTGGATGTTATATGAATGGGAATGCCCCCTAGGAAAGGCTAGGTACCATGGTGATCACTCTGCCCTGTTCCACCTCTGCAGTACTCACCAGGTGGCGGCAGCTACCCTGTACCCTACCTGGGTTCTGCTCACTATCCATACCAGAGGATTGCACCCCAGGCCAGCACTGATGGGCACCAGCCACTCTTCCCCAAACCTATCTACTCCTACAGGTACGTCTCCCAGCATCCATGGGGCAGAAGGAGGGGGTGCAGTTTAGAGGGTCCTTGGGGGAAACTGAGGCATGGGATTCCCCAGGGTGTAAAGGTAATGGTGGGAAGTGGAAGTCATACCCACTGGACCTTCAAAGGATACTAGAGAGAAGATTCGTGCATGGGAGCAGAGGGTGGACCGGATCACCTCCCCTAATTCTGGGGAGTCATGTCTCTGGTTTGACGTGGCAGATGCTGGTACCTTGGGTGGGCCTGCTGAGGTCCAAATTCCTGGGGCACAGGGCCTGGGACTGGCCCTAAAAGGGAGGGGGGATACTAGCTGCCTTCCCACTCTCCCCAGATTCAGAGAGAAGCCACATTCCAAAGCTGTGCTGGAAATAAATGAGGGATGAGCACTGCAGAGGTGACTCAGTTTATCCACCATCTGCCAGTTCTGATGGGACTTCTCTGGAGCTGGAGTATGAAGCACCAGCTGCGCCTGTCCTTCCCATTCATCCAATCCCCAGGGACACTCACCTGATGTGCTGTAGGCCCCAGGGAGAGGCCAGGTCATCAGCTAGTGAGAGCTCAGGGAACACCAGCTAGGAACATAGAGAAGGGCTTGTGGAGGCAGGATGCTATGCAGACCTGCAGTCCAACAGAACTGTGCTCAAGACCCAGCTCTGTAACTTACTAGCTGTGAAATTCAATCTAGTTATCTAATCTCTCCGAGCCTCTGTTTATTCATCTAGAAGGAAAAAAAGAAAGAAAGAAAAGAAAATGTAAGGGAACAGCAATTTAGAGTGTCAGAAGGCTTAAGAGAATATAGGAGAAGTTGGGCACCAGTGGCTCACACCTGTAATCCTAGCTACTCAGGAGGCAAAGATAAGGAAGACTGCAGTTTAAAGCCAGCCCAGGCAAATAGTTAGTGAGACCCTATGTTGAAAATACCCAACACAAAACAGGGCTGGCGGAGTAGCTCAAGTGGTAGAGTGCTTCCCTAGCAAGTGTGATGCCTGGTGTTCAAATCCCAGTACCAAAAAAGAGAGAGAGAGAGAGAGAATATAGGAGAAGCAGTGTCTGGCACATTGTAGGGGCTCAAGAGACCTTAGTTTCCTATGCATGCAACTGGCCAAGAACCAATCAGTCATGACAGCTTCCATGTAATGAGTGTAATATGTGCAAGGTGTCATGCTTCATCCCTATAATTCCAAGGTAGTTATTACTTTTTTTTTTTTCATTTCAAAGCTGAGAAAATTGAGGCTCAGAGAGGTTAAGGTGCTCACCCAAGGTCACACAGCTAGAGCACGGCTAAGTCAGATGGCAACCCTGCTTTCTCAATTCCACAATCAGGAATCTGTAATTCCTGATTTCATCCTGCTTTATTTCAACTTACTCTCACAGAGCTTCTCACCAGAGGGAGGGTTCTGGGAGGGCCTGGGACCTGATCAGAGAGTCAGACTCTCAGGGACTCTCTGTGTCTTCAGCATCCTCATCTTCATGGCTCTTAAGAACAGTAAAACCGGAAGCCTTCCCGTCAGTGAGATCTACAATTTCATGACCGAGCACTTCCCTTACTTCAAGGTGAGTCCGAGCCCATTCACCCACCACCCCAAGTTCAAATGAGTCAGGAGGGGGTTTTCCCTGGCACATTTCCCTTGTTTCCATCCCAGAAAGCCAGCTGTGCTAAGGGAGGGAATGCTCGCCTAGCACACATGAGGCCCTGGGCTAGATCTCCAGGACTGAAGGAAAAAAAAAGAAGAAAAGGTAGGGGTCTCTGTGTGGAGAACAGAGAGCCCAAGCTCCTCTCCCCAGGTTACATAGCAGGCTGGAGCCAGATCTTCTGCTGTGGGGAGGTAGAGGTGTCAGTTCTGATAGGCTTTGGGAGCAGCCACCTACCCCAAGTTGGAAGAGAAAGTTGGAGAAGTAAGAGACTGTCCCTAGCCTTCCCCCCAGGATGCTGTGGGCCTGGAGGAATTTCCGAAGAAGCTGGTCGGCCAAGGTGACAAGGAGTGCTGGGGCCGAAGAACACATCACCTTCTAGAACAAGATTAGGATCTGCCTCTGTGGGAGGCAGGCTGAGCTGCCAGAAAGTGGAGTGTGGGTTTCACAGTCTTTGGGTGTCCCAGGGAACTGGCTGGCTCGCCTGGCTCTCCCACTACCCTTTGTGCAGAATCTAGTTCCTATCCTCCACAGAAGGGGTGCTGGGGGCTCTACTCAATTTCCCCAGAAGAGGGGGTGAAAGAGCCATTGGGGAAATTGAGGCATGGGTCCTCAGAGTGTAAGGATACTGGCAAGGTGTGGAAGTCACACTCAGTGAGCTCCCAAAGGATAATGGAGAGAAGATTCCTACATGGGGACAGGGGATGAACCAGATCACCTCTGACCTTTCTTCTAATGCTGGGGAGTCATGTCTCTGGTTTGAGTTGACAGATGCTGGTAAGTTGGGTGGGCCTGCTGAGGTACAGCCTACTAGGGCAGGACAGGTGCTCTTCTCCCTGGATAGGCAATATTTCAGAAAGGATGCTCCAAACATCCAAGGTCACACAGTATGTGGAATCAGTGACTGGGTCAAATTATTGGACTCACACTATCCCTTATCCCTTGCACAGACTCCTTTTCCTGGGTGGGTGCAGAAGAGACAGGAGCTTGTGTCTGAGGAATGCCTTCCCCAAGACCTGCAGCCTGGTAGACATGATTTTTTTTTTGCTACACAGGCAGAGGGCAGAAGCTGAGGCCTGGGCAATTCAGAACTCAGCTCCTGCCAGTGGGGGATTCCTGCACCTTCCATCTACTCAATTGTCCTGCCTGGGGATAAATGGCTATAACTGCTGAGCTGCAAACTGATGGGGAGTGGGCAAGAAGGTCAGAGTGATCTGGCCAGGAATGGAAAAATATGCTGACCCATCAGAGGTTCTAGAAAGGAGAGGAGGAGGAAGAGAGTTGTCACTGGGATGCAAAAGCATCAAAGCTTGTACCCAGGCTGCTCCTATGCCCCAGCAGGTCAGGGAGCCAAGCTTTGCCTAACTCCTAAAGCCCTGGAGGGTCCTCCATGCCTTCAAGGGGCCAGGACAAGGAAAGGGAAATGAAGACCCTGCTCCACTCCTCTGGGCCTCTGTCCCTGCCGACTCCTGGCCTGATCCCCAGCCCCTCCCTGCATCTCATCTTCCTGGCTTAATTATTTTTCCTGGGAGCCATGTAATCCCTGTTTTATGAGGTTGAATTGTAAAGAGGTCTAACAGCTTTTTTTTTTTTTTTTTATTCTGGTTGTTGTTCTTAGCTAGTTGCATCACTCCCTCACTCCTGAGTTTACATTTGACTTCAGAGAGAGAGCATCTGTAAAACGGGATGGGCTCCAGATGGTGAGGCCAGCCCTGTGGGGTGACTTGGGCAGGGCCTTTAGTTAAGGGACAGAGCTGGAGTCTGGGCTTGTCACTGTCTTCTTGTGTGATCCAGGGCTAGGCCCTTTCTTATCTGGACCTCAGTTTCCCTCTCTGTAGAATCAATTGACATATAGATTCCTCCCAATTTGACAGTTACCCTATGCTTCCCCTAAATAATTAGTCCAAAGATCCCCTCCCCTCTCCATCTCTCACTCCCTGTTTGAGGATAATTTTTCTGGACAAAGACTCAGATGGGCTACACTCGCGCTCAGGGTAGCTGATGTGGGCGTCCCATAGCCCTGTGAGTCAGGGATGTGGGACTTGGGAAGTGTCCAGCCACTGGACATAATTGTTAGTGCTGACCACACTCTACCAAACAGGAAGTGGCTGGGGTGGGGGCTGCCCTGGCATCTCAAAGTCACAGATTTATAGGACCATAAAAGGCCCTAGTACCCATTAACTCTGCCCATGGGGCGACATAGCCTTGACTCCCAGTGGAGACTGTTGTGGGAGTCAAAGGCTGGTCTGGCAGCTCAAGAATCCTCCCTAGTGACCCTAGGAGCTTCGGGGATCATCTCAACCAGCCCCCTGTTCCAGGCCAACTGTCCCCAAGAAAGGCTCCAGCAGCTACTGCCAGCAACTCACAGTGATGCTGGCATGAGGGCCTGATTGTTCTGGGCGTGATTCAGCTTGGCTGCTCCCTGGGGCAAGTGAGCTGGGGAGGAGGGAGTGGCTACCCCTCATTAAGCAGAAACTACAGGCTGAAAGGGAGAGGGACCAGGAGATGAGGGTAAAGGAGCCCCACTGGCCAGAAAGGTGGCCATACCCACAATCAGCCCCCACTAGGCTTGGGGCAGTCACAGAACCTGGAACAGAGCTGGAAGTGGGAGGCGGGAGGCCCATAGGCACCCCCTCCACCGCCTCTCACCCAACTGAGTCAGCCTAATGGTTTTTACAACCCTCCCTGGGCACAATTACTGCACTGGTGGCATGACCAGGCCTCCTAATGGGTGTTTACTCTGTTGGCACGAGCACCCCCTGCCTGAGGGCTGGCCTCCCCACCAGGACACACTCCTCAGGCACACTCATGTGAACGTGCACCCACACACTCAATCATGGATACGCACAACTCACCCTGGGAAACTTTCTCACACACAGCCATCCTTGGGGACACACACATCCTCACTCAGGAGGCCACAGACCCATTCCAGGCGACACTGGTCACATCAGGGAGACACTTTACAGATATTGGTGTGGCTCACACACATTTCCCCAACCCCCCATCAAGCACCAACACCAAATATATGGCCAAATATGTGCACATATCCAAACTCTCACCAGCCTCACCAAGTTTGCTCCAGAGGGGATAAGGCTGACCCAGAAAAGGAACATTTTGCAGCCTCTCCCTCTAAAACTGCCCAGGAGACCCTGGAATAACAAGCTTCCTTTCCATAGAGGAGGCTGCACAGACAGGAAGGTAGGCGTGATCTCATTCAGGAGGGATTATGGGCCAGAGGTCTCACTGGTGCCATCCAGCCATCCCTTTAAGAATCACCTTGCTGGGCTCGGGTGGGTCACACCTGTAATCCTAGCTACTCAGGAGGCAGAGATCAGGAGCATCGCGGTTTGAAGCCAGCCCTGGAGAATAGTTTGTGAGACCCCCATCTCAGAAAATAAAAAAGGGGGTGGGGCTGGTGGAGTAGCTCAAGGTGTAGGCCCTGAGTTCAAACCCCAGTACCCCTCCAAGAAAAATCACCTCACAGTCTCTGAAGTGTCCAGCCAAGCATAGTGTGAAATGAAGACAGATTTTAGGGAAAAAACCCCACTCCTTCCCCATCACTGATGGATTCTGAGCTCATGCTGAGTGCTGATGAGGATGATAAGCCCAGAGCAGGCAGCAGTTCTGTGCCCAGAGTTGGCAAAGTAGAACCTACACCTGAGACCAGCTCCTGCTGCCTGAGCCCAGCCTGAATTCTTGCTTTGCTCTTTTCTGGCAGACAGCACCTGATGGCTGGAAGAATTCTGTCCGCCACAACCTATCCCTCAACAAATGCTTTGAGAAGGTGGAGAACAAGTCGGGAAGCTCCTCTCGAAAGGGCTGCCTGTGGGCCCTCAATCCCGCCAAGATTGACAAGATGCAGGAAGAGCTGCAGAAATGGAAGAGGAAGGACCCCATTGCTGTGCGCAAAAGCATGGCCAAGCCGGGTAAGACTGACCTGGTCACGTGAGGGAGGCCCCCAGGGACCCATGAGGCAGAAAGAAGAGGGTCCCATGGTGAAGGAGACAGATCTCATGGTGTTCCTTCTTTCTTGGGCCTTTTCAGAAGAGCTGGACAGCCTCATTGGAGACAAGAGAGAGAAGCTGGGCTCCCCGATGCTGGGCTGTCCACCACCTGGGCTGGCAGGCTCAGGCCCCATCCGGCCACTGGCTCCCCCAGCTGGGCTGTCCCAGCCGCTGCATTCAATCCACCCAGCTCCAGGTCCCATTCCTGGCAAGAATCCCCTGCAGGACCTACTGGTAGGGCATGCACCCTCCTGCTATGGGCAGACGTACCCACACCTTTCACCTGGCATGGCCCCTCCTGGACCTCCACAGCCTCTGTTCCCACAGCCAGATGGGCACCTTGAGCTGCGGGCCCAGCCAGGCACCCCCCAGGACTCGCCTCTGCCTGCTCACACCCCACCCAGCCACAGTGCCAAGCTGCTAGCTGAGCCTTCCCCAGCCAGAACCGTGCATGACACCCTACTATCAGACACAGACCTTGGTACTGACCTGGATGCTATCAACCCCTCTCTCACCGACTTTGACTTCCAGGGTGAGCTGGGGTTGGGAAAGGGGAGGTGGGATAGGACTGGAGGGGTACTCCTGGCCATATGGCCTGTCCTCTCTAGGTCTCCAGGCTGCTGGAGACTGGGTATCTAGTCACCTGAAGCAGAGAGCCAGGAGTGTGTGCTAAGCTAGCCACTGACTCCCTGCCAGGCAGAGCAGAGGGCGAGAAGTGTCCTTGCCCCCATCTCCCTCCTCCTGTTGCCCTGAACATATTCCAAGCGACCCATCACCAAACCATACTCAGCTCTGACAAAGCTGGAAAGAGCTCCATGTTCTGTCCCACACTTGAATGTGACTGGTAAACTAAATGTTCCCAGAAGTATTGCATATTACCAGAGTTCATCCTTTTTTTTTTTTTCTCATTTCAAATCTTTTTTTTTTTCATTTTTCTTTTATTATTCATATGTGCATACAAGGCTTGGTTCATTTCTCCCCCCTGCCCCCGCCCCCTCCCTTACCACCCAC